AGAACGGGGAGGGGATCGATGAACGAAAGTTCGTCGACCTCCTCCCGTGGACACCAAGGACGCCGGTCCCAGGCCCGTAGGAGGGGCAACGGAGCACGGGAAGCACGGCGGCGGTGTCCTGCGGAGGGGGGCGGCCCTTCTTCGGGACACAGAAGCGATCTAGCGACAGGTAAGTCGCCAGAATCGCTTCTGCTGTAAAGCCGACAGTCGCCTCTACAAGTTTAAACAGAGTCCCAGCGGCAAAAGTCGCCGGGAGTCTGTTTACACTGTACGTCGTCAGTCACGAAGGGGTTAAAGAAGCATGAGCTGACTGGTAAACCCTGATGGACCACATCCACTAGATTTAATTCCACAGGTGGGCTGGCGGCTAATAAGGGGAGCAATATGTTCAACCTCGTAAATGACAGTATGAATCAGCATATGATTTAGCAAGAGGTTGTTGGAAAGAACAGACACCTGACCTGACCTTTGATGCCCCTAGCGCAGCACTGTCAGTTCTCGCAGTGCGCAGCAATTAAAAATATGAATGTCTGCTTAAAGTGAGGTGGGCTAGGGGGATGGCCGCATGGGAGCTCCATCCATATGTGCATTTCTTACAGCTCCCTTGCGTGCCCTGTAGAGGTGCCTGGACTGGAGTGACATCACATTCTGGCTCCCGACGCCTCTACAGGGTGTACAAGCGAGCTTTACAAGCAATGCACATATGGATGGAGCACTGTCACAGCACAGCAGCCAACACTGGACCCCAGGCTGAGGATCCACTCCATTTCTCGTAAGGTAGGGAGACTGGATGTATCTTTAAAAAAAAGTGTGCATGTGTATAGAGTGCATATGTGTGTGTGAGACTGTCTGTGAGTGTGTGAAATTGTCTGTGGTTGTGTGTTTCTGTCAGTGTTTTTGAGGGCCCATTCACACTAGTACAGTGCGTTAATCACGCAGTCCCCTGTGATTAATGCACTGTACCACACAATTGCACCTACTGTGTGTTCTGGTGCGGGAGGTGCGTTGCTTTGTTCATTTGAATGGCACCTTAAATGCACCTCCCATCCACAGTTCGATCGCCCGCATCGGAAATGCCGTGCGTTCCAGTGCAGTGCGACTTGGGTCACGACTTAGTGACCAAAGACAAATGTGGCTCCTAAGGTTACACAGGTTGAGAACTACTGATTTAGAGGACAGAGGGAAGGCAGTATCTGCTCTGCCTCACGAGTCCTGACCTGCTCAGCCTCCACCTCTAGCATACTGTGCTTTAAACCTGCTCTAGCTGAAAGAGTAAGTCAGCCAGGTACAGTAAGTGCATGGCTTTTGAAGAGGCTATACGTGTGTGTGTTGGCGTACTGCTATGCTATGAATAAAGGGGGTGTAAAGAATCATGGGAGTGCTGTGCATACTTCTGACCCCTAAACTCTGTTCGCTGGACTGTACGTTACTTTTATTCCTGACCCCCTACACAGTTTGGCACCTTCACACTGGGCACTAGATGACCTTGTCCTGGCACTGAGCATATGAAGTAAACAAAAATAAACATGCAGCAGAGTGAGACAGTGAAGAGTAATTACATATCACCTTAAAATGGCTTACTTCTGTTGCTGCTCAGGCTCTTCACCATCCAGCCCTCCATCAGTGAGTTTAGGGATATGAGAAGTGTTGGGCAGAGGATCTTCTGTTCTGCCAGTCACATTGGGCTCCCTGACCCCTTCCAGACCTCCATCAGTGTGGGACCCAGGTGACAGGTCACTAGATTGCTGCTGTTATTTGTTAACACAGAAGCTGAAAGAGGAAGTCTTGCACTACTCACTTCATCTGTGACTCCGACATATGACAACTATTGCAGAGGGTGGCAGAAGAAGACCGCAGAAGACTTCCTCTGACTCCTTATGTTTTTTATAAATGAAAGCAGGGATCAATGAAAATTGTGCAATATAAAAGTGTACATTAGATGTTATCTAACACCAACATATATTTACAAACTTAACCTAGAAACTATTTTCAGGACTTTTTGAGAGGCTGCCTAGTAGAGGGTACCAAAAAACATATCTAGTTTTCTTGTCCCAAAGTATTTTAAGCCCATAGAGACAGAAAAAACTGGCATAATCATTTGGTAACGGATTTACAACTACAAGGAAAAAAGAAAAAGCCTGCACTGTTATATTTATTAGTTAAAAAAGGAGTTATTAAACTAACTTAGCTTTATGGGCTTGCAAACTTTAAGTCTATAACTACTCCCACTCAGTTATTAATATTTCATTATTGGTCTTTTGTGGCATATTTAGTTTTAGATGATGGAATAACTGTTGGGAGGAGAAATCATACAGCACCAGGCAAGATTCAAAGAAAAGCGTGGGTGCAGGTAACAAATTGTTTTTATTTAGTCATTTGGTTTGATATTGCCATTGTAAAATTATTCCAGCTTTGAAATGGTAAAAATGCTGGAAATGTCATGTTCAGGTAATTTTAATTACAGGGAAAGTATAGTGTTTTCAGTTTCTCTTATATGACAGTGCTTACCTTTTTTAAATCACTTTATATGATTTTTACATTTTTCAAACTATTGCGCTATTTTTATTATCATATTATACATATATAATAATTTTTAGAGTTGGTTTTGGAGTTAGCTCTCAGTGATTTGGTGCATTCACTTTGTCTTTCTCTTAACAACTTAAAGTGACATTAAACCCTCAGATTTTTTAACATAAACCAATTCTGTAATGTGTGCCTTACTGTAATCCATGGCTGTTTCCCTTCTCTTTGCTGCTCTTCCTTTTAAATCCTCATGTCTTCTCATGCTTGGGGAGAACTTCCCTTTGCAGCTGACTGTAGTGCTGGCTCAGGTTGTGAACCTACACACAGACACCATGTATCCATTCCTGAGACAAGGCAGTCTGCTGCAAAACAGAAGTTCTGCCCAGCATGAGAAGAGATACAGATTTAAAAGGAAGAGCAGCAAAGAGAAGGGAAACTACCATGGATTACAGTAAGGCACACATTACAGAATTGGTTTATGTTAAAAAATCTGAGGGTTTAATGTCACTTTAAGCTATTTGTTGGAGTTTCTTACTTCGATTCCATGTGTTTTTTTTTTTTTTTTTTTTTTT